CGCCTTTCCCGCGAAGAAAGAGTTTCTTTTAGGGTAGGGGTGTAAAGAAATGAAGTAATGGCCCGCGGTGAGGGTGCGTGTGAGGGGTTGTGGGTGTGTGAGGGGGAAAGGGGACGTTTGGACGTGAGGAGGATCCCTGAGGGGAGCTGCTGAGGGACCAAGGGGGTTTGTGGTGGGGCTTTGGGCCTGCCCTGGCCTCAGTTAGGCGAGCACTAAGGAAAAATTGCGGGTTTTCCGTTGAAAAATAAGAAATGTTTGTGTGTGTGCATGTTTGTGTGTGTGTAGGTTTGTGTCTGTATGTCTATGTATACACACAGGTGTGCGTATGTTTGTAAGCTGGAAGTTTTGTGTAATATACACGAAATTGATTGAACGAGGGGGAAAGGTTTCCAGCTTTGAGGAATTTTAGATGAGATGTTAGGAAGAAACTCTTCAGTCTGAGGGCGGGTGAGGCGCTGGCACGATTTGCCAGAAAAATTGGGAGATGCCATCCCTGGAGGTGTTCAAGGCCAAACTCTCTGTAGTTCTGTTCCGTGATTCTGTGTGTATATTCGGACCAAGGTTAGAAATAATATCACTGTGTTAGGCAAAGGCTACTAAAAGGGGAAAATAATGAGCAAATTGGTGCTGGTGACAGAATGTTCTGCCCCGTGTGAGGCTGCTCTTGCGCGTGCTGCCAAAAACCCGTCTGTGTTAAGCGATTCTGTGGAACTGTTATTTCCATCGCTGTGCATGGAGAGCAGCAAAAGCTACCATTGCAGGAGGATAGTTTGGTAAAGCTTACTTTAAATTAAAAAAAAAAACACCACCACAGACCAGACAACCTCCAGAGGGACTGTCTCCTGTAATCCAGAATTTTCTCCCACAATGTGTTGTAAAGCAGTTAAAGGCAGGACGTTGTCTCATTACCAGAAAGTACCATCAGTGCCATTCTACTTTGCTCAAATGGTTAATTTGATCAGAAAAAACATTCCTTGCTGTTGCTGTTTCCAGCCAGCAACTGACATCATGTATCGAAATTCCATATGCAAACAGGCCTCTACCCACACTCTCCAAAAAAGCATAATGCAGTGAATGGTGTGCACCCATCAGCTCACCACAGAGAATGTCACTCATCAGTCAAAAGTGAATATTTACAACATAGGTTATTCAAAATGTAGGTGTCAAACTCTAGATAATTTGAAGCGATCAGCTGAACAGTCCTACTCAACGTAGTGAGGGCTGGCTTTGTTGTAGCTTACGTGGTGAAAATAACAGAGGGACAAAGGAACAGAACAGCAGGGCCCTGTGGGACGTGTCTGGCCTTGAAAATTTAATGAACTCTCACCTCTAGTAATAAGGGGGGAACACAAAATGTTTCATGGTGTCTGACTTCTTAGGCTTCCGTGGCTGCTGTGTTAACTTGATTCTTGTTTTGTTTCCCGACTCTGTTAGAATGGATACACCCCGCTGCATATTGCTGCCAAGAAAAATCAGATGCAGATAGCTACCACTCTATTGAACTATGGGGCTGAGACCAATATTTTGACCAAGCAGGGAGTCACCCCACTTCATTTGGCCTCCCAAGAAGGTCACACTGACATGGTGACCTTGCTTTTGGAGAAGGGATCCAATATCCACGTGGCAACAAAGGTAACTCACGACAGCAGACACAGCATTGTGGGTGGGAGTATTCGGTAAGATGCAAAAATGCGGTGTAGGATCGATGTCACGTTGTCAGGAATTCTCAGCGTCACTTCGTTGCGGGCATGTTTGTGAGTTTGCAGAAGTGGCGACAGGTGGATGAACAGTGAAAACGAGAGGACAATATCTAGGACTGGCAGGTGGATTGACCAGTTCACATGGATGAGGTAATTAGTAGCTGTACTGGGAAACACACAGGAGGAGCTGCAGCTCTTTGCGGTGACCAGAGGAAAGTAATACAAGGCCTGGCCCTGGTAGAGAGCTTACAGGAGGGAAGGCGGACCAAGAGAAACCTGTTTCTGAGTGTCCGAGAAGGCAGGACCACAGTATTTTTGCTGTCCTGTAACCTTGCTGTCTCATGATTGTTTTGCGTATGCTCCTGAAGTTTTCCGTTAGATGCAAAGGAAGAGAAATTTAAATTCTGGAGTTTGTGAGTCCTTGTATCAGAAACCTCAGAGCTAAGTCTAAAATAGTTCAGTACTGTTGCCAGCAAAGATGCTTTTCCTCATGTACTTACCCTTCAGCCTTTTTTCCAAGTAGAAGAAATTGTCAGTGTCTAGCAAATAACAAAATAGCTTTATAAGCAGAGTAGTGAGTGAGAACGATCTTATGGAGGCCATTTCAATTTGTAAAATTTTTTTTAATCATTGTACGTGACAGCTTTTTCATAGAAAACAAGCTCCTCAAAAACCCCCATCGCTGTAGTTCTTCATAAGTCATCTGGCATTAATGTTTTATGCTACCTAACCAATGAGAAATAAGGTGATTTTCATATCTCTTATAAAATTTGTTCCCTGACTTGTTGCCAAGCAAGTACTGTGTGCATGATCACGGTGAGCTTTCAGCTGAAGGCTGTATCAGTTTCTTGGCATCTTTGAATGGGATCTATTTCTGGAGTTACTTTCTTCTTTCTGTCTCGTGCCTGCAATTGTCAAGGTTCCCTTCGCAGCTCGAGGAGTGGGAAGCACCGCAAACGTGCTTCCCTAATTTATTAATGGGCTCCTCAGCTTCCCAAGTGACATTATTGTATAAAATCTGAGCGTGATCACCAGTGCCTGAAAGTTTTACTCCTTGGCTGTGGTGATGTAACTGTTTTGGAGCTGTTTGTCAGCTGGAGCAGGAGAAACATCAACTCTACTTTGTTTTTTAAAATAACCACCCATAGTTTGAAGTTATAGTTGGGATCTCTTCATGTTTTAAAGGTGAGAAAGTGAGAAAGCCTAGCTTGCTTACCTTATTGAAAGTGGGTTTTATTTTGATGTTTGTATTTATTTTTTATATTCTATCTCCAGACTGGACTGACATCCTTACACCTTGCCGCTCAAGAGGATAAAGTGAATGTAGCTGAAATACTCACAAAGCACGGTGCAAACCAGGATGCTCAGACAAAGGTAAGTCGTGGTGTGGCTGTTGTCTCCAGCCTGCCAAGGGATGTTGCTGTTTTAAAAGGAACGTTCCACTGAGCTTGCAGTTTTACATCTGTGTTCTCTCATTGTAGCTTGGTTATACACCTTTAATCGTGGCGTGTCACTACGGAAACATCAAAATGGTGAATTTCCTTCTCAAGCATGGCGCGAACGTCAATGCTAAAACAAAGGTGAAGACTTTCTCATTGCTTATTTTTACGCTTTATTAGGAACCTGGTAACCAAGCGCTACCAATATACACCATAGGTGCTTTTTTACTATGAAATTCTAATCACTGCGTGGTAGACGAGTCATGGCTGTAGCAGAACGCGTTCTCTCTGCTGCATCTCGTTGTGTAGTGTTGACAGGAGAAAAGTCAGGTAACTCTTTGGGCTTAGGAAGGAAGGAGATAGAGAATCAGTTTCGTTGTGTGTTTTTCTTTCTCTTTTGACTTGCAAACTAAGAAATGGGAGCTAGTTCCTGATCTCATTTACACATAGTTTACACCCGTGTAATACCGGTGTGCTGCCAAACTAGTAAGTAACAGTTCCGACACTTGGAGGGTGATGCCAGGTTCTCTCCCATCTGCCGGGAGAAGAGTGGGAAGAATCGCTGCTGATCAAAGCGCGGGTGGGATGACTTTGGGAGAGGAAGCAGCTGTGGTGGGGGAACGGAGTTTATCGAAGACGGGTTTATGTTTTAGGAGTCCGTTAATATTTCTAGTGACGTACTTAGTATTGGTAAGATCTCATCGAAGCCACAGGCTTGTGGTGTGCCGGTCCCTCTGGCCGGCTCCTCTGTCCCCAGCCCTGACCTGTGGGATGGATTCATTTCTCGGAGTAGCACTGCTTCATCCCGGCGGTCACAGCTCAGTGTGGTAAAAACCAGCGAAGTAAATCCATCAAAGATGTTAGCCCAGCCCTCGTGAGATCATCCAAAACTGATGGGCAAAACCCAGGGATTCCAAAAGAACAGGCAACACTACTAGAAAAACAGCTGATAAGGATTAATAAAGCCGACACTGGCAGGATCCAAACGATAGCTGCCAGGACCTTCAGCTGAGCTGTTTGGAAGCTGACTAAAGGGGCAGGCATACTTGTATCTTTAGTTTTAGGTATCGCTTTATGTCTCAGGCCACTGGGCCAGATTCTGACACCATTTCCCCAGATATTTGACTTAATTAGAGTAATTTCATTCAAGTCAGCGAGTTGGTATGAGAGTATGAGGCAGTGGTTCTCCAAAATCTCGCTCCTTGGGACCAATAAAAATATTGGCAGTCCTTCAGCTGGCGCTGTGGACTCAGTTTAAAGAGCAAACCCATCGTGGATGAATTCAGGATAAGCATATGAAAGAATAAATAACCTCTACTGCAGCTCGATCTTTTCCTAGAGAAATCCTGCGTGTCTCTTTGTGCCACCTTCAGTGAAAAACAATATGGCTGAATTCTGTTTTTGAAGGATTGCACTGATATTTAAATAAAGATAGCAAATCCACCTTGCAATCCAACCAATCCTCCTTTGATTTCTTACTAGTTTGTGTATGCATTCCGCAGCTGTCAGAAGTATAATGGCTCTAACTATCACTATTTAATTAGTAGTACAAAGCATTACTTGCATATATTCTTTTGCAAAAGAGACAACTGTCAGAGTGTGTCCTTACAGCCTGCCCCCAGGCTTTACGTAAGTGTACAGTGAGATGAACTTGGTGTTTTCTTCCAGCTTATTCTCTGCTCGCTTTCAAAGCCAATTGCAAATAATTTTGTAAATTAAGTGCCTGACTGGACTTACACAATACCATCTCAGATCAACTAGCTGAAGTACACTTTGGTTATGTGTCTGTATTGTGTAATGTTAGAGTGAATCACTGGAGCAGATAAGTATATGGAGTTAAGCCTGTTTATTAATAGAGACCTTGTGTGTGTTTTTTTAAATGTATTTACGGCTTGGTCAACCTTTCTGAAGGCAAAGTAAAGCTAAAATTGGTCGACATTTGCAATAGGTATATGTTGCTAGGCCTTTTTGAAAGCAAATAGTCTTAAATCACTACTGTTAAAAATCTGTATTTGTTTAAATAGGCTCAAATACTTTCAGGGCAAGCCTCGGGGGTCCTGTAGAAAACTTAAGATGCAAGAGGCAGAAAAATGTTCTCTGCCTCAGATGTGATTCTACGTCCTTAGCAGGACACTTGAACCTCACATTTGGTCGTTGTTTCTACTTCTGATTTAGGAAATGAGGAATTACCTTGCTCTTTTGTGAGATGAAAGATGATTTGTGGATAAATACCTTTCCTTATCTTTCCATTAATCTGCAGAAGGGTTATTATTATTACTAAAGATTTATTACTTTTGGCTTGATTGATGGCGTAATTTCTTTTCGAAACGTCTCAAAAGGAGCAGAAGGAAGCAAAGCAAAATGTGTGTTCTAATTACTGGTGGTGATTGTTCTTTGTGTGTTTGCTTTTGTGGTAACCGCCACGGACAACAGAACGGGTACACCCCTCTTCACCAAGCTGCTCAGCAAGGCCACACTCACATCATTAACGTTCTCCTCCAACACGGAGCCAAGCCCAACGCCATCACCACTGTAAGTCTGCGAGGTGCCAGCAGGCACTTTTCGTTTCCCTTGACAGTTCTCTTCTTTCCTTCCTTAGAACTGGAGAGCAAACCTCTGTTTTGGTGGAAGTATTTCTCACACAGCTGGGTGTCAGATGTGTAAATGTAACGTCCTCTCCTTTATCCTCTTAAGGCGGTTCAGGTCTAACTTGTTGTGCACGAAGCTGAACGTGAGGTGCGGAGACTGGCTTTCCGGGTCCGGGTGGCCTCAGCCAGCTGTGCTGTGCTCTCTGCCTCAACACTTCGTCTGTAAAGGGATATCTCGAGACAGATTTTTCCCTCAAAATTTCCACCCAAATTTCTGTGCTTCTATCCGCTGCAGCTTTTTCAGGTTCTTGCCGAACTTGCTGGTGCTAATGCCTCCTCAAAGACCATCAGTAACCTCGGATACAGCTCCTCCTCTGCAGTCAGCTGGGAATGCAACTGTCCTATTTCATGTTGCTGTTGTTATTAGTCACCTCTAGTTGGGTAATCTTTAAAATGCATCCAGAACTTCCAAAACTAATGTCACTCCCCAAAGTGGATCCAGTTTCCCTGTACATGTATTGTGCATGCTTAGATCAGCAGTAGCGCCCCGTTTGGTCCTGTAACAGTCAGACTGAATAATGGTCTGTGAAGTTATCTGAAATACCAGTTTATGCAGCAGATCATCAAACAAAAGACCGTTGTCCAAATCAAAATCCACACAGTGTCTCAAGGATGTGTCCTTACTACAAAGTTTTCAGGTTTTCTCAGGTACTAGGTCTCTTTTCATCCAGCAACCATTAGCTTGAGATAAGAGAGAATTTCAACCTTGGACATCTGGCAGGGAGATATGGGAGTATGATATGAGCTGTTCATGTGCAAGGGACGGTAACAGTTAAATTATTTGTGCTGTGAAGATGTTAATCTCTTCATTTTGTGCTGTTAATCCACATACGCTGTGTTGCTTCGGGGTTGCTGGGCTAGACTAATAGAGAATAACTTCAATTATAGATAACTAAAACCAATACTGAAGGAGAGAGAAGCCCTCGGGCTGGTGCCTGCGCACAGAGCAGCGGTGCCACAAGAGAAATCATTTCAGTGCAAGGAGCAGTTCAGTGATTCCTCCAGGAGGCCAGCATGTTGTCCTTTGGTACAGTGCAAAATAACAGAAACCAATTCCGTGTAAAACTCTTTTCAAAGAATCGTACAACATGTCCCTTCCTCCCCTCCCCACTTGGAGTGACACGGGGACTGTGAGCTGCCAGTGGTCCAGGTGATGCAGACCTAAACACTCGGTTATCATTTAATGTCCATTTCATGAATGGTGCATCTATATATCATGCACATTTAAACTGCAAATAAATTTATTTAAATGGAAATGAGTTGCCCATTGCCAAGTTGTATATAGGTTGTTTTTATGTTTGTTAAATCATTAGCTTTTGTGTACTTTTATTGGATGCATATTTTTGCTGTAAGGAGGGGTAGAAGTGTGTGTGGACAGTACAGCTGTAACCTTGTGTTCCCCAAAGAGGGAATCATAACTGGTAAAGATTTAACCATTCCGACGGAAACTGAAACTGTGCCATTAAAAAATACTATTTTTTAGCGCAGTATTTCTGATGTAGAGCCATTTATGCAAAACAAAACATGAACTTCTGCAAGCAGGATGCATTCTCTATAGTGAAATGTGAACACTGAGGGGTTAAACCATACAGCACTTTTTCCTTTAGAATAGCCTGCAGATGTAAGTGTGTTGTGTTACCATGGCAATCGGGGCTATAGTCTTAGAGAAGTTACAAAGACCGAGTCAGATGTAATGGTAAAAAAACAGCGCTTTTCCTCGGCTGCGCCTTGTTTTGGATGGAAATGCTGGCTCATGCAGTGTTGAGAGTGAGCTCATTGGTTCACATCCCAGTCCTCCCTCTCATCGCGCTCTCTCTCTCTCTCTCCCTCTTCTCTCGTTTCTCTTCAGAATGGTAACACTGCCTTAGCTATCGCAAGGCGCCTGGGCTATATCTCAGTGGTCGATACGCTGAAGGTTGTAACGGAGGAGATTACCACCACCACAACTGTGAGTTGCAGACGCGTTGCAATGTCTCTCTTCTTTATTGAGAATGTTGTCTTTCTCTTCTTCCCTCAGACTCTCCATGTATCTCTTCCCTTTTGTTTGTTTTCTGGTTTTAGCCCCCTCACCCCCTCTTTTCTCTTGGATTTAGGCAAGAGTGCTACAATGCTTTTGATATATTTTTTAAGCCCATGGAAGCGTGTGCAAGGCAACAGCCTGCACTGAGCTAGGTAACGAAATCTCCGTGCGTACGGATGAGAAACAACTGTTGAAAAGTGGAGGAAAACTTCTTTCTAGATACGAGTCAGAGCCACAAACCCAAACTTTCCAGAAGTTTGTGCATTGTTGTCTGTGTTGTTTCTCTTTTCACTTCCCCTTTTCAGTCTGTCCTTACCTTTCCATGCTCTGGACACGTAGCGAGGCTCAGCCCTCGCAGCGCACCACAGGAAACCGCTTAGCACTGGGACCACACAAGCCACGGGCTGGTGCCAGGAGTAACTACTCACTGGATTGCGCTGAATCACATCAGTCATCTTGTCACTGGGATCACTTTCAGTTCACATAGATGCTGTTTTTCCAAAACCATGAAAAAATCTTGCCTGATGTGCTCAGTCCTCTCAGTCCTCCGCTCTCCTGACAGCCTGTATTTTGACTTCAGGGTTTGTGAGTAGCGCTGAGCATCAGCAAGGTGGTACTGTTGCTTTAAGCCAGAAAAAATGGATATATTCTGACACTCTAGGAGGGGAAGGTTTTCTCTTCTTGGATTTTAACCTCCCAACTACAAATATTTTAGCAGGTAGGAAGCAACAATGTTAGTAATAGTGCATCACTGAAGAAATTAATTTGAATTTAAATTTCAGTTACTGCATTTTATCTCGAAACACTGTTGTAAGGTCACACTGTTGTGAGGTTTTTTTAATGCAGGAGAGAGTAGCAGTCTAGAAAACCTGTCAGATTCAGATGTCATTTAGGAGCTGGGCGACATAAAAAGCCACATATTGCTTGCAAGATGCCACTACTCAGGCAGGGAAAGGGTTAGAGGAAGGGAGGAAATGCAAAGTTGCTTGTTAAGAAATGGGAAAGAAATTTGATTTTGTGACATGCTGTGACGTCAAGTCCCACTGATACTAACCGAGGAAGATGGAATAAAGGTAGCATGGCATAAGGTTACAAATAGAGTGAGCCATAATTTATTAATGACCTGCAGAGATCAGGCTGAGTCAGGTTTGGATGAGGGATTTCAGCCTAATTCCAGAAGACTCTATGTTGTTGTTGCTATTTATTTTGTGCTCTTGTTTAATCATACAGCACCTGACACTTGTACATGCATAAGCACATACGTATCTGTTCAGAGATTTAGAAAAGTGAAATCTAGGTAAACTTCTCCGAGAAACATTAGCTTTTTTCACAACATATGTTTTCTTAGCCTTTGTGCTTCTCTGGGCTGTGTCCTGGCACACTTTTTTCAGTTTATGCCCAGTCAAATTGTAACTTCCTTTCCGTTGTACGTTGTGTTGCACTGTGGACCCTTATCAGATATAAGTAGTAGATGCTTCCACTAGGAAAAGACACCTGTGAGTTATGTACTTTGGAAGAATATTTCTTTAAACTTTGCAGATAGTGGATTTTTCTACCAGATAATAGATGCTTGGGGTTTAGGACTGAAGCAATCCATACCTTACTTGGATGGTTGATCTTGCTTCCACAGTCTGGAACTGTGTCTGTGTTTCAGAAGTCTGGCGGCAACCCTCGATAAACTTGTCAGGTTTTTTTCAGCTGTGAATTTGTCTGAATCTTGTACCTTAGGGTTACATAGAATATAAATTTCTGATAGTGTTCACGGTGGGGAGTGTCGCTGAAACCTAATTTAGAACATAGTCCTAAAAAGGAGAGATAAATAAGAGGCGCTCTCTGCACTAAAGTTCTCCCGATGGTGAGGTTGGTGTTAACCAAACCAGGAGACGGCATTTAGCGCTGAAAAAAAGGTGCTGTCACCATAGCTACTTCATTCTCCGAGGCTGTGGCTGAGGGAAGCATGGAGGGTGTTAGACAGGCTGATGCTTTATTGATATTCAAGTCACTCTCATTTGAGATGAGGAAAAGATCTCCGGCACCAAAGCTTTCAGTCTAACTTCGAACAAATTTTCCTCTTAATTGCGGTGGGGTTGTTACTAGTGGAGCCACGTGAATGTAGAGCAATGGAGAGAAGAAAGCGTGCTTATTTTTACTCACAGATTAGAAATGATCGGGGAATAAATCAGAGTAAGCAAGACTTTCCAAGGTTTATAAGGCAAGGTTTATAAGTTTTGGATGTTTCTACAAACAGGCACAGTCTTCCTGTGGACAATTAATATACGAGATGCTTTGAGGCTGTTTACATTGTGCTGCTGAGTAAAGAATCTCTAAATGTACATGTAGGTTTACATACCTGAACTCTCTGTATATCTGAATTAATCTATATCATCAGGTGAAAATCGGGCCTTACGATTAAAGTCTTAAGTACAGAAGCCTAAAGTAAGGTACAGAATTGAATTCTCGGGGGCACTAACTGGCACGGAGTTTGCGGAACATGCAGTGCGTACTTTTCCAAGCGGGCCACTCGTGGGGCTAGGTATGGCTTTTAAATTTTGAGAGTGTTTAACGTTTCTGATATGCTGATCACTGAAAAAAATTCTAGTGTTACATTGAAAGTTAATTGAAAAACATTAAATCACACATCTTCCGTTGTGAATCGAGGTGGAATTGGTGATTCTTGCTGACTTCAGTCTTCCGGAGGTGGCGTTACAGATGTTTTTGTTCTCCTCAAACATGCACACACACCCCCTCTTGATTCTGTTTTCCAAACTTTAATTGTTACGTAATAATTTTCTCTATTTGAAGGGAAAATAGGGAAGTAAATCAAGTCTCTTTACTTCTCTGTAAATATGTAATATCTGAAAGCCTTAGGTGGAGACCAGGTTGTTATATAGGGGCCTGTTCAAACTTACTTTATGAATAAATTGGTAAGTGAACCTTAGTTACTAGGGTCTGCAGCCTAAGTTAAGAGAAAGGCAGCACACAGTGTGCCTCTACACCCTTAGCTCGTGGACCAGCATCCTTTTTCACTCCTGTGCCCTTCTAATCAAAGCTAAGATTGGGAACCAAGTTTTCTCAAGTAAATTTTGGTCGTGCAGCAGACGTACAACAAGTAGCATTTGTGACTCTTGGGCAGGCCCCTTCTTTCACCTTTCCTCAGAATTTAGTCACCTCCTCCTGCCTTGACTTTTTATGGGGGGAACATAGAAACTAGTGATAGAGAGGATATAATCGCCCCCTTCACCTGCACTTAATTTTTTAGCTCAGTGTCTGATTATTTTCTTTTAATTTATTATGTATTTGTTATCTTATTGCTCTATTGTTGAAGGTGCGAGGTCAGTGTCACCTGAGTAGTAGCGTCCTCCCGCTCTGTCCTCGCTGGCTGTGTCACCCTACTGCTCCTTGACATTTCTGCCGTGGCAATGCAGGGCAGGCAAGTCAGATGTATTGATGGAGGCATTTGGTGAATATCAACTAATTTTCAGATTATGTGCTAACAAAAAACCACCGCAACAGAAATAATTAATTGTCTTGAGTCATGGGTAGGAGTGAATTTAGGAGGCCTAATTGGGATTGCCGTTTGAAGCAAAGGGCAGCGTTCTTTCCCTGTGCCTCAGGAGGCTGAACTGAAAACTGCTGTCAGAGTTAAACATATTTCGAAAATGGAAATCAGACTTCAAAAACAAATTTCCACAGTAATTAACACCGATGGTAAGCGTTATTTATAAAAGTGCAGTATCGTACAATAATCATGAATGCTATCTTTGGCAGTTCATCAGAAATAGAGGAGTATAAACCAGAATCAGGAACTACCTACTAAGTTTTGTGTAACAACAGCTGCTGTTGACTTCATGGCTTGGTATCAGTGGGCACTTCCCCTAAAGCATATTGCATCCGGGACTTGGGATTTGGCTGACATTAATTAGCCCTCAGCTATTGTGCTCTTTCACTCCTTCTGCACGTAATGTAAAATTACACTTGATAGATGCCATCCACGCTAGGGAGTGAAGTCCTGCCTCGGTGGGAGTTGTGCGAGAGACGCAGCTTCTTGACGTTCCTCTCCCGGCCAAAGGGGCACATCTGCTCATACCTACCTTCAAGGGAGAGATGCTGACTCCTCTCCACAGCTCCCCAGTTCAGCAGAGTGGCTGCAGAGCTGGGTGGAGCCAGGGAAATACTTACTCTTCTCTTGTGGCTAATGCTGTTCTGGTCACTTGATCTTTTTCACGCCCTTGCCGTTTTGTCTCCTTTATCGTAACTTGCTGGCAACTTTTTTCTTCACGCCTTGCACTTCCTACAATTTCTGTCGGGATGTTCTTCATCTCCTTCTCCAGCGTGTATGTCGATGCACAAAGGCTGTCTGTGTTCTTGATTCAGCACCTCTGAACATCTTCTGTTTCCTCCTGGAAATGATTTATCAAGATAAAAATCACATAAAAATAATCTTCCGGTGTTCTACTATATGGTCTCACCTGTGTTCTTGATTCAGCACCTCTGAACATCTTCTGTTTCCTCCTGGAAATGATTTATCAAGATAAAAATAATAATCTTCCAGTGTTCTACTATGTGGTCTCACGGTTAAACAGTGTCCTCCCAGGAGTCCTCAGTCCATCCTTGCCTTGTATCACAACATTTTAAGCTTTTAGATGCACAAAATACATCAGAATCTTCAAATAACCTTCCCCCTCCGTGTATACATGATATGGGGCAATATGCATGATTTATGAAAGGATCTCCTTAATATGCAGCGTAGTCCCTTTTTGGGGGTGGAGGAAATGTTTAAATCGATCTGTGTAAATCCTTCACATCTTTTTGTAGTTTCAAAATTTCGCATCATTCATAACTTCATTTCCAAATGCTTTACGATTTAATAATTTCCATATGGCACATACAACTTTCTGAAGCTCTTCTGTAGACATTACCTAATTCATTTTAAAATCATCTTGGAAACATGGAGCTGAATTGTTCTACATGCACGATTTATAAATAAATTTGCCGAGAGCTTTCTTTTCATTTATTTCTCTGACTAGTTCATTATCTTTTTTTTTTCCTCCCACTTTCCTGCCAGAATAAATGTTACATTATACAGCGTTGAGAATAGGAGATTTTGGAGTAAAGATGAAAAATAAAGTTAGGGGAAAGGGAAACACATTATAAAAGGTCTCAGCAGATCTCAATGCTGCTGTTGTCGAAAATATCCTCCTGTAAACTTTGCTGCTTCTTTTGGTGTTTAATGTGAGGATTGATGATTCTGTCTTTGCAGACGGTGACAGAAAAGCACAAGCTAAATGTTCCTGAGACAATGACCGAGGTGCTGGATGTTTCAGATGAAGAAGGTGAGCAACTTTGCTGAGTTCCTGTTCCGTGTCGTGTGTTTAACCTGTAGCATAGGCTCAAGGTAGCTGCTTAAGTACTTTGCCATCATTATTTTGCAGTGCTCAAAAGGAAGTTCTAGGTAATGGCCTTTTTTTTCATGATGTAGTGATTATGGAGTTTGAATAAAGATGCCAAAAGTCAGTTCAGAGCAAAATCCTGGGCATCCCAACGTCTTTTTCAGAAACAGCTTATCTGAACCAAATCACTGAACGAAAACGTTTCCCGGCTTCAGATTTTAAAATTGAATTGTAGAGCTGTCCCAAAGCTGGGGTTGACCCTCCCATGAAGAGGAGTTTGAGCAGGAAATTTTTCTGGATTGACGCCACCTATTTCAGATAGATCTATCTAGGAGTTCTGCCCAGTTAGAACCATTGGTGTAAGAAGATAAGTAAGGTAGAAGGTGAGGAGGCTGCTCCCTTGAGGGAGCTTTTGGCACACAGCGATCACAGATAGATATGATGTGGCGTGCAGTAACAACATGCTGAGAAGTTTGGCACTTTGGTTTCAGAGTCTGTTGGATCTACAGACAGGAGGCATGTGTTGGACCGCTTAGCTAAGTCCCAAGAAAATTTCCGTGGGCTTCCGGAGGGATTGAGGAAGCACTGCGGTTTCATGCAGTGCAGAATTAAGGAAATAACTTGGAAGCAACCCTTTCTAACATTCACAAATGGCTTCTTAGAAATTTTAATCACAGTCACATCTGATGAATATGCACACACTGGGAAGAATTTTCTAAGTTTTTGTTCACTCTTCGCAGTGTAAAGCAATATTACAGTGTCTTACAGTGTCAGCTGTTTTGTGGTTGTTATTATTTCATACAAATAGTTTGTGGAGTGCCTGCTTTCAAAAAGTCCTGGGGATTTCGGAGCACAGTTACAGTGTTGGTTTTTTTCTTTTACCAAGAATACAGATACATTTGTGGTTCTAAATGGTAATGGAAGTTACTGGCATTCAAGTTCCTGAAGTGCTTGTATTCATTTTTGAAATGGGGTTTATGCTGATATATGACTTGGACTCCGGAGAAAATATGATGTTGAGGCTCCGGATACTACTTTTGGGGTTTTTTTTAATGCTTGCGAAGTTGCAAGCGAAAACAAACAAATGGGAATCTGAAGAAATTATTTTCTGCTACATCATGATTAGTGAAATTGTTTCTCCCGGGCATGTTTTTGCTCCATTTTCTCCCTTTGAAAACCATTCAGCTGCCTGTGTAAACATTGTGATAAATGACTTATAAATTGCTTATAGCCTTATGTTTACTTGCAAGTTCCTCCCAGTCTTCTGAACTTCCATTTAACCATCTTTAAATCTACAAAGCCCAGTATGCTTTTCTGCTTAATTGCTTATAGCCTTATGTTTACTTGCAATTTCCTCCCAGTCTTCTGAACTTCCATTTAACCATCTTTACAAAGCCCAGTATGCCTTTCTGCTTCTACAGGACATTCCTTTTTCTGAAATCAATTTATGTGTTGTACAGCCTTTAGACACTCTGATGAGGAACGCTTCAGTGATGGTGAAGCATGTAGTGGCACAGGTGCTGGTAGCAGAAGTTTGTGGAGTAAGACTGACTCTGTTTAACCCGGATTGCTTATTTTATTTTTCTGTGCTGAAGCAACACAAATTTGCTTCATCTGGGTGCCTAACACTGCTCCTTTTCGTTACTTTTGAAGTGTGACTGGGTGTGTGTTTCCTAAAAGGTGGGTGGAAGAAGGGAAGCCAGAAAACCCCAAATTTATTACCTGTATCTCAAACACATGAGCAGAACGTAGTGTGGCCGTTCAGCATGACTAACGCTCTCCAGGGCTTTGAATTAACATTTTCTGCTTTTTGTTGCCATCTGACACCAACTGTTTGTCCACGTTCCTGCTCAAGGCTCGGTGCTGAGTGCTCGTACCTATAGCTCCTCTCTGATCCTGCCGCGGGTCGCTAAGCAGGTTGGTCCCAGGGAAAGGACTTTATGGCGTGGGCCTTGTAAGAGCTGGTTCTGTGGGCAAAACACTCAGGATGTCACGAAAATTCTGACATGGCTCGTACTTGTCACTGGAGCTTCAAAGAGCTAGGGGGAGGAAGGGTGCAGAACTTTTTTAATAAAGGAATTGAATCTTTTAGTGATGGTGGAGTCTTTGTAAGAGGCTGGCAGTTATGGTTCTGTAATGCTCTATTCTTACTCGTCACTTAGTTGCTTCAGAGTGACATAGTGTGTTCTGAAAGAATAAATTAACATGACACAGTAAATCTACCATCTCTGTATAATTGTGAAGTTGAACACAAAGAGTACTTGAGCAAGTATTTTGAATGGTCTGAGAGTCGCACTAATAAGCCTTTAATTTTCATACAGCATTTTTATGATTAGTAATTGTATAATTATTCAAAATTCTTTACTGATTACTGTACCTGAAGAAGTGTCAGCACAGTTTTGTGAAGCAGTTTATTAACACACCACAGAAATACACACATGCACACATGTGTTACTGCTCCTTTTTCTCCTGTTGCTGCAGTCTGCCACAAAGCCTGTTTAAGAGGAATCAGCCCTTGTTACTTGCTCAGCACTGTGCAGGGGATGTACAGTCACTGCCCAGAAGGTGATAGACTGATCTTCCAAAAAAAGGTTTAAGAAATGCCTCTCCTTAAGGGTGGGGATTACCCTGTGGATTCCCACAGGCCACGCTGTTAAGTGATGTGGTTTTTGAAACACCGAGGCGTGCCAGCAGAAATGCTTTGTGTGGAGAGAGTTGTACTAAAAAAAAGCAGTACCTTGTTATTGTTGTATCTAGTTTAGCTGCAAAGCTTCTTGTGAAATGTATTTCATTGACAGCTGCAAAGTTGTTGAAGTTACCTGCACAAGCAGATGTTTCTGTTAGGATTGAGTCAGAGCAGTCACACAGGAGAATCTTAAAAAGGCAGGAAGTTTTTTTTTTTACTTCTCCCGTGTGGTACTATTGTATTGAGGAGCATGTTGCTGCTCCTTTGTACTCATGCCAGTGTTGCTTTTGTGGGCAAGAGCTGTAGGAACCGCCAGGGGGTTCTCTTTGTGACTCTCATCTGAGATAGTACAGCAAGTGTAGTGCTGTGTCTGGAGGTTACAAGACCTACCAGTAAAACAGGTTGTTGCAGAGCTCTGATTTCTGTCTTCTTGGGCCTCCTCATCTCCTGCTCTGTTTTCAGTCCAGTTAATTTTCGAAAGCTCTGGTTTCACTGTCTCCTGGAGACTCAATCCTGGCTGTTGCAAGAAGTTGTCATAGCTCTAACCACACTTTCCTACATCCTGCATTATGTCAGCACGATCGTTTCACCATGTGGTGAACCAACCTAGAGAACTGATCTGTCTGAAAATTAATCTCCTTGTTTGGTTGGACTCGTTAGTTTTTGGCCAGGCTGCTTTTGCAGGCAAAAGGGAATAGAAAGGCTGAAGTAGAAGGTGAGACACCACTTTCAGAAGCAGCATGCCCCTGAGGTGACTGCCAAAAAGGGCAGTTCACACCACATGGTAATTAATGCTGACATTTCAGTTGAACAGACAGGATAGACAAAGGCCGAGCAAAAGGTCATGTGCAAATAGTCAGTGCGGTCTCAAAAATCAGCTGGAATCACAATATCCGGGGACTAAAAAGCGTTTTTTTTGTGGGGAGTGCTTGTCTAAAAGTTACTGAAGAGTGAACCCTATGCTTGGCTGAGACAAGAGGTGATGTTGTTGGCTTCTTTTTTTTTTGACTTTAAGTTTCTTTAAAGAAAATACAAATAATAAAGTCATCGTAAAAAGAAGACGATAAGGACGCTGAAGTTGCTGAAGTGGTTCTAAAAATCAAAACGACTCTGTCACATGATTAGTGCCTACATACGATAACGTCCCAGCGTTGGATTGTTGCATTTTTCCTCTCACAGAATTGCTTGGTTTCCTCCTTTTCAGTTTTGAAGCTCACTCAGAATTGTGATACTACATCATACAGACATATTCACAGTAATATTATCTGTATAAGTGCCTATCCCTTCATGGAGGTGCCTCGGTGACAACGTGAACTATTGCCTCGCTCGAGGACATCAAAAACATGGTCTTAGGTGCCAGAAAGCAGTTCACAGCTAATCCATACCTGATAACACCAGATTTCTGATTAGTAAAAAAACCCCAACCTTTTTGTTACCGAACAAAAGTTGTTTTCAGCGTAGATGATTTTTTTCCAGTGTAGAAAAGCTATCAACAAAGAGAACTTTGAAAGAGCCTAGTTAAGTGTGATTCAGACATGGGCTCACAAAAGACTGAGGAGTTGCTGCTTTACAGACAGACACTCCAGGAAGGTTCAGGAATTTATTTCTGCTGTTGTTGATGCTTCCTAAATGACTCTGTGGAGGTCACGCCGACTATCTCAAATCTTCCAGTTGTAGAATGCGATGATGATCAATTCCTGGCGCGTTGGGAGCTGTGAGGAAAATGCCACGTGCATCTGTTCACCTGCTTTTGTAACTGCTTGCCTGGAACTAATTGGCTGCCTAATTAGCAGTATCAATGTTGTTATAATTAAAGGATAATGTGCTCCAGCACCCCAGAATATTCTCTTGTCAAAGTGTATTGGTGCAGTAGTAACTGCAGCTTGCGCTTTGATAAGCACGCTGGAGTCCTTGGGGGTATCTTTAACAGCAGGAAGTAGCACTAAAATATAAAAGCAAGTTTCCTGGGTGCCTCTGCACCCGCCCTTAGAGTACCCTGGTGTGAGAAACAGTCAGTTAAATCCGGGTAAAATTCATCACTGATTCCACCGCAGCAGCGACTCAGTTCGAAGAAGTAAGGAATAACTTTCCTTAATTAAACCTGAAAGTTAAAAGTTGCAGCCGGTAACCGTTCTTGGTTAGCCTTAAGTAACTTGGCTGTCCCTGCGTGTTAAAACGCTGTAAATTCAGAATAACACCACCCAGTGAATTCACAGTCTAAAATAAGCATCTTATAACCAGCAGTAGAAAATGTAGC